TACAGACCAAGGTGCCACACCAACGTAGCTACTACTTCATCCGTGTCGGTCTATGTCGGATAGATCCCTCACAGTTTATTGCTACTTACCTAAAGGGTATCCCCAGATCCAGGTTAGGATCTATAGAACTCCGATACAAGCCCACAAAATTAAAGCATACAAAGCATACAATTGAAAACATAGTGATCTAATCCTAAGGTACACCTCACTTATTAATTATCCCCAGCAGAGTCGCCAGTTCTGTGATCGGTGGCAAAGAATTGACTGTTTTTGGAATGCTGGTTTGCATTTTACGTTTGTTTTTGCAAAATGTCGCGGTAAGCAAGAGTCGCCACCGTCTTTTATTTTATCCAACAAGGAAAGGACAAAAGCACAGAAAATTTCCTTTTTTGAGATATTTCTCGGGTTCGGGAGGTAGATTATAGAAAGGGAAGGTGCTAGCACCCTTTCTATCCGTGGTTATCCACGGGCTCTTAGGTACTTGCTCATTGTGTTTTTAAAAGTTTGCTTTTCTTTGTGTTTGTGGATTTGAAAAGAGTTTTTGTTTGAAAGGAGTGTAAGTGCGAAAAGTTTTGTTTTGTTTTAAAAGGAGCAAGTACTTAAGAACCATCTACCTACTCAAAAAGGAATTAATCTGTACAAGTGTCCTTTAGACAATGCTAGCCCACTATTGATGAGTAGGTAGCACCGTCGTTGGAGTTTAAGGGTCAATTCGATTAAGGGACGTGTGCTCACTAAAGCAATGTTAGGACGCCTTAGTGGTAACCCTAATGTCTTAGATCATTTTATCCGAGGCAACCGTTTCGAGGCAACTTTGATCTTTGGACAAGAGGACGACCTCTAAAACTTCCTATACTCAATGACCACGTTCGAGGCAACCAAGTGAGGTGTACCCTAAGAGTGGCATGTGCGAGTGTATTGTTTTTCAGTTATTTATCTTTGTACATGTTATGGTGAGCTACTGTTGATTTTAAGTTAAAAATTTGGTCTTGTCATGCATTGCCTATTATTCAAACATCTAACAGTTAATGGTTGCGGAAATTAAATTGCGGAAAATAAATCTAAGCTATTACAAGGCGTCGGGTATTTACATCGCCAAAGACAAACCCTTTAAAATTAAATTGCGAAAAAGTAAATAAAAGCGATAAATAAATAAATAAAGTCCTAAGTTAAAAAACTATTACATTCCCGAAGCAGTTACAATATTGAAATATGGATCAAAAATAATTCGCGCGCGAGAAAATTAAATCGGAGTGTCTTAGGGTTTTGACCCTTTTTATTAAATAAAGCATATTTTTTGTTATTTTTTTGAATTAAAAATTAGTCTAAGTTAATAATTGAATTAATTAATTAAATGAAAATATTTTTGGGTTTTTATTTTAATTAAGGAAATAAAATAAGAATGGTTAAAAAGTTAATAAAAATCCTAATTCTATATTAATTTTAATTTAATGCAAAAGATATTAAAATTGTTCCTAATTAAAAACTAAATTAATTGATTAAAATTTATTTACAAAAATAATGAAATAGTGAAATTAATAAAAATATTATTTTTTAGGGTTTTCTGATTTTATATAAAAAAAAATATTAATTAGTTAATTATTGATTTAATAAAATAAGTAAATAAATAAAAAGATTATAGAAATTAAAAGAAATACTCAGGGGGGTGTGGGCCTGAATTTGATAAGGAAATTAGCAATTTTTGAGGCCCAGAACGTCCAGCCTTTGTTTGACCTTTGCCATTCCATGCATGTGCATTGACTGGAGTCCATGGTGGATCTGCAACTATGGCCTTTGTATCTTGGCCTGAAGCCACTTGGCATTTGATGGGAAGAGAAACATGGTGGTCCACGCTTTGGGCGCTGCACATGAGTACCTGAAGAAAAATTATAACAAAGTTTTGGGGGACCTGGGATTCGAACCCAGGTCCCAATGCTCACATGTCAGCGTGCTTAACCACCCAACCAAACTGCTCATTCGTTATAATAATACAAAACAAATAATATATGGAAAAAACATTTACTATGCCTGCAAAATAAAAAAAAACGCGCTAATGATTCAAACAGGCCAATGGATGCAAGCCACGTTATCATCTTCCTCAATGCATCCCTGGTTCGTTTACCTGCGGATTTTTATCCACGGGAAGATTCATAGGATATTTCAAAAATCTCTCTCAGGCCATGAAAATACCATCCAAGAACATGGATGTGTTCGTCTCTGCCTCCTGAATATCCCTATAACCATTGTTTGCCTCAATTTAACCTGCATAAGAAACGCCTAAAAAACAAGAACAAGAACCCTAGATTCGGGCATCATGATACAGGTCCTAAAAATACAATTGAATAATACCAAAACGTTCCAAATCAAACAACAAACATAAATATGCCAAGATTTTAAAGAAAAGATGCAAGAATTGGAGATTTGGAATCCATGTTCAGAGGTTGGTTCGTGATGACTTACAATGCAATTTAGGCAACGAGAAGGCTGGATTTTGATTGGTATCACTTCACTGGACGTCAGGGAAGAGGGCTATGTCAAGCTTTTGGACTGAATCGTGCTCCAATGTTGTTTTTGATCTCCCACTTTTCAAGATTTTTCACAAACTTGTTCTGGCCATTTCAGCAGTTCCTTGTGCGTGTTCTTGGTCTGCCTCACTTGTGTGCATATAATGGAATGTGTTTAGGTCAAAACTTGGGCCATAATCCTTATGCATTGAAGATGGAAGATTTGATTTTGATCACCATTAACAAGTTGCCATATTTGCATCAAATATGAGATTTTGTGCTTGTTTTGACTTGGCACAAGTTTGATTGAGTGTTATATGATATTTGCAAGTTGTAATGACCACAAGAATCCCCTTACATCAATTTTTAGATTTTATTTGATTTAATATTGATTTAAAATGAATTAAATCAATAAAAATAAAATAAAATAGAAAAATAAATGAATGGCCATGAAATTAAAGATGGAACACGTGTGTGGCATGAAAAGACTATATCAAGTGGAAAAAAGTGGTCCCTTTTGTCAAAAATTGGAGTTTTGAGGATAGTTGACTTTTGGCAAATTTGGAAAAATGCCCAACTTCATAAATGTATAACTTCTTCAATTTTAAACTTTTGGAGGTGTTCTTGGACTTTTTAGAAACCTTGATATGTCTTCTAATCAACCCTTTTGGTCTCATCTCATTTTTATCTTCCATGCTCAAGTTATAAGCTTTGGCAAAAAAGGTGTTTTTGTTGACTTTCAAAAATGACCTATAATGTCCAAATTTGTAACTTTTTGTGAGAGCATTTCTTGATCTTGGGGTGTGAAGATGGACTGTAGGAAATTGCATCCTCTTCAAAATGAGCTTTGTATGGGTCATTTCTCATAAAGTATGAGAACGTTATGCTTAGTCAAAGTTGAGTTGACTTTTCCTACAAAACCCTAATTTAGCAACTTTTGAATCTTGATGAATCTTGAGCAATCCTTGATGAATCATGATCAACACTTGATCAAATGATGAATTAACCTTTAAAATGAGAATGTTGACAAAAAATCTTGAGGTTTGACTGTATTTAGGACACAGTTGACTTTTGCCCTAGCATAGTCGATTTTTGGGCCTTTTGAGCAATTGACTGACCAAACTTCCTCTGCAAGGCTTGAAATTTGACATGGAGGAACTTAAGAACATATTAGGGCATTGGGGAGCACTTGATGCTATTTCTATGTGAGTACCTTGATGCAACACAAAACCCTAATTTTGAATTGACTGCCTTAGGAGGTGATTTGACTGTCCAATTCTTGAGCCAACTTGAGCAACTTGAATATTATTCTTGACATGTCTTGAGGAATATGGGAGGGAAAATTTTGGGGTACAACACTTGCAAACGTTTTTCGTCCCTAAAATTGGTCCCTCCCGTTAGTTTCCACTAACGGGGGCTTATGTGTAACATCTTTATGTTTCTCACAAGCATATTTATATTACTAATTTGCCAGCGTGGATGTGTTGATAACGTTATCAGATTATCATATAATACTTACCATCTTAATAAACTTAAACAAATCTAACATTTCCAGATCGAGAGGTATAGTGAGTGAAGACCTAGAAAAACAAACTCTTCATATGCGTTGAAAACCTCTATGTGGTCCCAGAACAAAGCTTCTTTTGTATGGTCCCAAGAACAACTTTGACATTTCCTATGTTCCCTTCTTTCACTTACAAGCAAGTGTGGTCCAAGTTATTCGTATTCAATGGTCCTATGTATTTCACTTTGTTGCATATTTAGTAATGGTAGGGGTAGATAAAGAATCATTCTTCTATTAATAATAACGATTTCATATCTGTATATGTAGATAAGTAGAATTTCTAGTTCATACCATATTTGTTTGACCTAATTTGGTCAATTTTATACCTAAGTGAATTTATTATACAAGAAATGGGTAAATTTAAGGTTTTTTTCTACACAAAGAGTTGTTTTGTAAAATACCATGACCTAAGATATGATGGTGGGGAAGTATATGCATTTAGTAGTCAAGATCTCGATTATTGGTCTTTTTTGAAGCATGTGACTTAGTGAAAGTGATCGACCCTGAGTTTGATGTTAATGTTGTTAAAGTGTGGTAGAAACATGATGAAGGATCTCTTGAATAAGATTTAAAACCATTTAAGGATGATGGAGATGCTTCTGAGTTAGTTGTGTATTCTATTGGAAGTAATTGTGAGTTGAGATATTCTGTGAGCCAAAACAAGATACATGAGAGGTTACCTTTGTGGATAGGGTTAAAGAAAAAGGCTAGGGTAAGACATGTGATGAAGAGGATAATAAATTAAGTGAATGCAATGGTGATTCTAGTGATGAATCTGTGAGGGATGTACACTTTGATGATAGTGAATAAGAGATAATGAATAGGTTTGATGAAGAGGTTGATGTAGGTGTTAATGGTGAACCTAGAACTAAAATTGTTGCTAATAGTGAGGCCCAAGTGAACCATTCAAGAACATGTTTATCACATAAGAGATGGGTAAGGCACATGTCATTGAAGAAGATTACATGAATGATGAACTGGATAGTAGGGATGATGATGACAATTGTGATGAAAGGCCATATGTAGTCAGGTTCAGTGAAGAAGATGCTCTAATTAAGGATTTTATTTTCAAGGTTTGAATGGAGTTTTGTAGCTGACTATTTTTTAACTTGTTTCATACCTGACACTTTTTTTTACTAAAACACATGTTATTTTGTTGGAGCAGGGTCTGGTTCAAGTATTTAAAGAGGAGTACCCAGGTTTTGAACAGAAATTCTGTTTAAGGCACTTATATGCTAACTTTAAAAATAAGTTTTTAGGAGGAACATTTTTTAGGGATCTTATGATGGTCAAGACTAATTATTTTGAGGCATATGAAACAAAGATGATTAAGATAAAGGAAGTCAGATTGGAGGCTATTCCCAAACTAAAATGGTGTAAGCATGCTTTTCCTTTTTTTCTCAAAGTTTGATGTGTTAATGAACAATCTAAGTGAGTCTTTTAATGCAAGAATTTTATTATAAAGGGACAACCCAATAATCACCATGTTTGAGTGGATTATGAATTATCTAATGGGAAGGTTTACAATCCTTATAGAAAAGATAGCTGGTTATTAGGGGTATTAATGACCAAACTATTAAGGAGATTAGATAGATAAATTGAGAAAAGTGCTAGTTAGACAATAACTTATGCTGGTAGGTTAACTTTTTAAGTTACACATGTCATTTTTACTGATATCTTTGTAGTGGATTTGGAAAAACAAAAATGCTCATGCAATTATTGGGAACTAGTGGGGATACAATGTAGAGATGTTATGGAAATAATACCTAGGAGAGTAGATGACCCCATAAAGTATGTACATACATGTTATCATAGGAGCACATATGAAAAAGGGTACAATGAAGTGATCACCCCATTAAATGCCCAGAACAAATGGCCTAGAACATATAATCCTATTATGTTATCACCCTTGTTCAAACATGGCCCAGGCAGGCCCAAAAAACTACGCATGAGAGAACCTAATGAGGTAAACCAAACAAAATGGCAAAGAAAAAATATTAGCCATAGATACAAAACATGTTTTGGACTAGACCAACACAAAAATACTTGCAATAAAAATAAGAAAAATATTGTTGTACCATCTGTAAATACAACAGAGGATCTGCCTAGACAGGGGCCTGCAAATACAACAGAGGATCTGCCTACACAAGCCAGTCAGACTAGCAAAGTCCATTTGGTGCCCAAAAAAGGGTATTGCACTAACTTAATCTCTTTTTTCTTCTTGTGTGTAGTTAAGATTGTGTGTAATAATAATGCTTTTATTTCTACCAGGGGAGGCCTAAGGGGTATGTCAACAATGGCACAGGGGTATTTTGAGGCATATGAAACAAAGATGATTAAGATTGTGTGTAATAATAATGCTTTTATTTCTACCAGGGGAGGCCTAAGGGGTATTTTGAGGCATATGAAACAAAGATGATTAAGATAAAGTCAAAAAGACCCAGTCAAAGAAGAAAAAAGTGGGAACAAACAATGATGTAGGAACTGCCACTAAGGAAGCAACAATTAATGATGAAGCAACAAATGATGAAGGAACTGTCAATAATTAAGCATTAGTCATTGATGAAGCAACAAACAATGATGAAGGAACTGTCAATAAGGAAGTAAAAATCAATGATGCAACTTCCAAGGAGGTACCAACTGTCAATGAGACAAATTTCAATGAGGGACCCATTGTCAATGAGGAACAACCTACATAGTCTTCACTTTTGGACAAGTTTTGTGATTGGGATGTTAAAAATATGGCTACATTGATGAGGGATGATGATGTTTTTGACATTCATCCTTTGAGTGTTGACACATCACCTATCAAGCCAAGTGAACCAAATTCAAGTGGTTTCATGGTTTTCTTTGGTAAAACTTAAAAGTTTGCAAAAACAAACATTTCAAACCCCCAGGATCATCTTCACCAAAGACAAGTTGTAGTGAACCAGTGAATACTAAAACCTGTTATGAGCATATTCATTCAATTTTAATTCATTTTTCTTATAACTCTTCCTTTTTATCCCAAGTCAAGAAGTCCTGACCAAAGACCAGATTCAACAAGAATGCTGATGTGACAGGTGCAAAAAGACAGAGTGACAGGATGAAGACTCTGAAAGAAAAAGATGTATCTGGCCCTGGAAAGAACGTGATGATACTTTGGTGATCACTGAAGAGGAAACTACATAAGAAGTTATTTGTGGTGGAAGGATATCAAAAAATTAGGAAGTCATTTGCAAGGGGCTAACTTAGTGAAGACTCCTTGAAGGTGCAGTCAAGAAGATTTTTATGCTTTATTATGTTTTGAACAATATATTTATGTTTTGAACAAGATATTTGTATGGTGTTGTATAATCATTATGTCATTTGCATTGTCATATTATAATGAATGGATCAATTACTATTTTGATATGTAATGAGATTATGATATTACACAAGGAAACAATGTTTATAAAAGTGTAGATGAAGAATGGAGTAAATATGAGAGCAAGGTGAGGGAGATGCATGTTGTTGAAACTTTGAAGGAGTTGTATGAATCTTCATTAGATCAAGATGAAGTCAGAGACATTTTCTGAAAAGCTGAAGCCAATGTGTCTTGTATTTTTGTGTATGGTCAACATGTACTTGTTATTGAGGTGTATATGTTGAAATCCTCTACTATTTTTCTTCTAAGTTTGTAATGTTGTTTGATTGATGTTGAATTGTTCAATTATGTAACCATCACTTATGTAATGCAACTTAGTTATGCAATATAATTTGGTTTAATTGATTTTGTAAGTTTCACTTGGTATGGTTTAATTGACCTATAATCTGGTTTAATTAATTTTGTAAGTTTCCCTTGACATAACCTATAAATTGGTTCATTGCATAAGTGACCTATAACTTTGACATAAGGTGACCTATTTGGTATGAGATATAATTTGGACAAAACATCAACCATAAGTTTGACATTAGGTTCCCTATTAATTGGACAAATGACGACATATGCTTCTGCATACTTCTGACAGATATGTACATAGATGATGGCGAATTATGACCTATAACATCTACATAAAAGTGACAGATACTTCTGCATAATTTTGACATTAGGTAAACATCTCATTACATATGCAATACATAATTAGTATCAATATTTTACTGTGAACAATGTGCAATTGAATTAACTCGAAGAAGAATGATACATAATTAGGGTTCACTGAAGAAGAATACGAAATAAACGAATTAGAGTTAAAGAAGACGAAGAAGAGTGAAAAAGACGAAGAGGAATGAAAACAAGTTAAGATAAGTCTTTAATATAAAAATAAAGATAATTAATTTAATAATAATCTAACGTGTAAAAAAATACACATTTGGCATGCCACGTAAGTCTCAGTTAGTAGAAACTAACATGAGAAATCAATTTTAGTGACGAAAAAATTTACAGTTTAAAAGAAAATTTTAAAAAAACTAAAATTGAAGATTGACATATTTATAAAAATCTATAATATATATAATTGAAATATTTATGCCTAAAAAATATAATAAATATTTATAACGAAGCTTGTTATAAAAAAATAATACCAAAAAAAAATTAAGTGCGTTTTTGAAAAACAGTGTAAGACATATCTTAGATAACAATAAATAGAAAAGGACATAACGGATGGTAGCTAATATCCAACCAGATCCCAAAAACTATGGCCTTCCCACAGACACAGATAATGGGAAGAGTCACTTTTCAACCATCAAACCCAACCCTCTCCTTTTTCTTTTTCAAAGGTGTTAGGTAGAGATGATAGAACCTTCCATAATTCAAATATTTTTTATTTTATTTTTCAATTCTCAAGTCTCAAGAAATTTCTAGTTATGAATTTTGATTTCAGGTCTACCGCAGCCAGCAAGTAGCATGGGTCAAAAGACTCATGTATTATAAATAAAATCATTAGAGATTAATGAACTCATATTTAGATCCTCACAGCATCAATATGACATTAGATATTACCAAAGAACAGACAAGGATACCTTACATAAGCCATTGTTTGGTAGAAGTACTTTTCATCAAACACCCTTTAGGTTTAGGGTACAAATTACATGGGTGTACATAAAATATTAATCACATAATGTTGATAGTACCTTAACCAACTTGGCAAGTGGCAGCAGCATACATGTGCACGTTTATTGGTCATGCTATTGGGTCCGTTATAGGTACAGTCATCATATTTTATCAAAAATATCAACTTTCTCTTTTTTGTATGATAATAACATTTTTCTCATCTATGGGTAAAATTGGTTATAGCTAATTATTATGAGTTAATTTTTTTTTCTTCCCACTTGTGTTACTAGTTTCTCCAATAGTCACCCTTTGCCAAATTGCCATGAAATGACAATCTGCAAACATTTTATAAGTCTATTGAAATATCCGATAGTCATGAAAGTGTCATAATTATGTTGTGAAAACATAAAACAACAAATTTCTATAAAAGAAATAAAATACAATTCACCAATTTAGTAAGTGTACTTTGACAATCTCATACTTATCTATAATATTTCAATAAAAATATTTTGTTCTCAACTTATAATTTTTACAATAAAAAAATTACAAATTCTTTCACAATTAAAATTTTTATAAAGATAAAATTACAAATTCTCTGAACTATAACTTTCGAACGTGAAAATTATAAACATTTTTAATTATACATATGGATGGTAAAATTTCAAACTCGTTCTAATATAATTATAAATAAAAAATTATAAATTATAAACAGAAAAATTATAAATCATCTCATAACACACAATTATTCAAACTACATTACACCCATAAGACTAGATATGTTGTGGTTGAAAAATTCAAACTAACTATTTTTTTTATTTATACCAATATTTCAATTCTTTTTTTTCTTCATTATTCGATGTGTGATTTGGATGAATTTATTTTTTCATCGCACTACTCGATGTGAGATTTGAACGAATACACACTCTTTGACCCAAATATTAGTCAAACATGTATGGAACTTGACATTTCAACATTTGAATCATATTCCATGTTTGTAGTGCATATAACTGAAATAACTTTCTTCATAGAGGCATGATATGAGGAAATAACACATATACGGATATGAGAACACAAAAGGTCGTAAGACATGAAAAACTTAGTCAACCATAAGGTGTCACGTACACCCAACAATGAGAAGAAACAAACATTATACGTGAAAATAGTATTAAGGCTAGATTCACGATGTTTTGTCTTGTAGGACTAGATTTGTCTATAAATACTTTATCGCACGATTCACTTAACACACTTAATCAATTAAAGAACTATATTTTAATAATTTTTTTCCTCCCTTTATCATGCTTTATCTTTATTTACGTAGTTCTCTCGCAACTAGTTGACTTTGTTAATCCCATAATTTACAATGTGGTCTAACAATTAAGAAAGTTCAAGGCAAAACATGTCATTTTTGGTGACAATTCTGTTACACCGACCACTCAAAGATTTCAAGAGCACGATATCTTGTAAATGTTGAAATAAAAGTCATTTGATTATCGCAATGAATGCACCTTCACAAAATCAACTGAATTATATACAACATATACTTTTATTCCTATAAATTCCTTGCACAATACTTTCACCAAAGCTTACCCTAGGGGCAACCAATGGAGACTGATAAACTAAATCATAATAAACTTCAATTTGGTTAGGTACATATTTCTAGGAGGCTTTCTGATGCAATATGACAAATTGGAATGATGCAAAAAATTTCCTTACGACAACATCGTGCAAGTATGCAATATGTTTTATGTTGAAGGACATGCTTTTGACTATTTGTTGGTTATGATTTCATAAAGGGTTAAAATCTAATCAAAAGAAAAAAAAGTTTTTTTGAAGACTTTGAATTATAGAAAATCGACCATAGAAACAGTCGATCGGAAGACGTTTTATAAAAGGTCAATTTGGACTTACGAACGCAGTCGACCAAAAAAGAGGTCTCATGATAAATGGATTGGGTCCAAAAGTGTTAAAAATCTTAAAAGATGACATAATTAGCAAAACAAAGCATTGTGAATGGAGAACGTGAGTTCGATAGCAGGAATGGAGAACATGGGTTTGATAGCAGGGATGGAGAACGTGGGTTCATGGAGGGAAGTTACAAGAGACATGTGGCTCATAAAGAAGTGAAGCCCGCTAAAAAGTAGTTATTTTCATGTATTATAAATAAAGCACTTAATGCATAGTATAAGGGGGTTCAAACATTCACATCCTACACGTTAGTCACTCAAAGTACTCAAGCGAACGAGCGAAATGAGTCAAGCAAGAGCGATGTATGTTTGAATCAACTTATTTTCAACTATTTTGATGTTATGTCATCTATTTTTACAGTTTAAAATGTCTTTGTTTTATTTTACAATTTCTGCTTTATTGCTTTTAAATTCGTTTCGCCTTAGTCGAACGAACCCTTTTGAACATACTTTGTGAAAATACTCGAAAACTGAAGCACTGTACTGGGATTCTCTGGTCGATCTCGCCAATAAACTTTCTGTTAAGAGACCAGCGTTGTTTACTAAACCAGAGGTAAAAAAATTGGCACACCTGGTGGAACAGTGCTAATAATTTCGTATTTTGTGTGTAGTTTTACAAAGTTTCTTATAGTTAGTGTGTGTATGAATTTAAGAAGTGGTAAACTTTTGTTTAAGTCTAAAATGTCATGCTCTGACACAAACCCGACACATACGCAGATTTCTA